AAAAAAAAAAAAAAAAAAAAAAAAAAAAAAAAAAAAAAAAAAAAAAAAAAAAAAAAAAAAAAAACTATTTTAAACCTCGAAATCTCCCTTCAATTCTTTTTGTCATGTTTGGGGCATTTCAACCCCGCCAGTTATTTAGATTTTACCGAAAAAGACGAGACTTTTTTTAATCTTATTTTGCATGGGTTACATTATATATCAGTTGAAATTCCATTTCTGCCCCTACTATTAGGGGAATATTATTAGGTGGTAATAGACTAGTAGTACACATGACAGGGGTACGAAATGTCACATGACATAATTCTACAACTGCAATGCAATTTTTTAATCTAGATATATATATATTTGTCGATACCAATAATTTTTATTTTTTAGATAAATGTAAAAAGCTATTTAATAATTTTGAAAATTGATGTAATAATTAAAACATGTAACTAATCTAAGATAGACAAACTTTATTGTCCTTTCAATAATTCATGTTTTTATATGGAGACCTGAATTTAATATCTAATTTTCTCAATTTATAGTAATAGTAAAGGAAATTATTGATTCATTAATTAATTAATGAGATAATTGGTTAATGCTCGCCGGAGAATCAAAACAAATCGACAGCCAAATATTTGATTGATCACTGTGAAATTAATAACAAACCCATCTTAAAATTTTGGTTATTTTCTGAACGCTTTCTCATGGCGATGAAGAACTGGGATCAGTGTCTGGGCTATCAGCCAGTGTCCCACAAACAAGAGGTATTCTAAGGCAGTTCAAGCTCCCAGCAGCAGGAAAAACAGAGCATTCAGGGCGAGGCCTCTGCATGTCCCGTCCAGGAATGCAATTTCCCGTGAAATCAAAGCCCAGATTCCCAAGAGATTGGCGCGAACATTCTTGGCTCAACCCAGAAAAGAAATTGAAAGAAACCGTCAGATTCACCAAGTTTTTCAACGAACAGATCAAATCCGGAAGAACACCAGAAAGCCTGTTGTGCCCCAAATTCATGATCTGGATTTCGTTTAAACAAGACAGAGTGTCCGGCAAATGACCCATTAACGAATTGAAGCTCATATCCAACACTTGCATTTCAGAGAAAAGCCCGAATCCTTCAGGAATACACCCTGTTAATTGGTTGTTTAAAAGCAGGATTTCTCTCAGTGTCGAACCCAAGAGGCTAAACCCAGTTGGGAGATTTCCACTTAGCTTGTTGTTAGCTAGATTAATCACAGAAGCAGGGGAATTCCCCAGGTTTTGAGGGAGTTCGCCTTCGAAATGGTTGTTATTGAGGAAAATTGCATCTAGTTTTTTGTTGAAGAGATCTTCAGGAATTGGGCCGTGGAAATCGTTGAATCTCAGGTCTAAATACACCAGATTTGGAATGTATAATGTGGCAATCGGAAATGGACCTGAAAACATGTTGTTGCTGAGGTCTAATTCTTGAAGTGACGACATTTCTTTAAAGGATTCCGGCACAGTGCCGGAAAATCGGTTGCTGTTGAGATGAAACAGAGTGATTTCGGTGAGAAACGAGAGCTCTGTCACGAGAGTACCTGCGAGATTGGCGTGATTCAGGTCGATTCCGGCGATAATGTCGACGAGGGACGACGTTGATTCGTCTTCAACTTGTGCACAAAAAACCCCTTTGTAAGAACACACATTGGGGCCGACCCAACTTCGTAAAATCCCTAATGGATCGCTTGTAATGGCAGATTTCCATGCTTGGAGTGCGGTGTAAGCTCTGTTCAGTCTCGGCGTCTGGGGTCCATTGTTTCCCCCAATCCAAACGCTTGCTCCTCCTCCTCCGCCACCGCCGCCGATGGTGACGCCGATTCCGATTCCGCCATTGATGTCTACTACGAAGCTTTCAGTTGCAGGGGTGTTTGTGAGGAGGAAGAAGACGAGACAAGTGACGATTGGGAAGTTCATTTTTAGGTCCCTTAGAGAGAGTAGCCACAGAAATGAATTGACCCTGAAATCAAAACTCTGGCATGAACAGAACAATAATTTTGATTATGTAACTTTACTAATATCATTTTGATTGTCTTTATATTAATTTTTCTCTCCAAATTTGATTACCTAATATTCCATCTCAATGCGAGTACCTTTCATGCCCAATTTGTACACTTGCTACACTTAACAAAATTATTTACCAACTCATACCAGAAAATCAATTTTTGGGAAATCCCCACACTCTGACTTGGGATCTCACAATCAACCTATTTTGGGTTCAGCGTCCTTGCTAGCACATCATCCAGCCCTCTTATCACTCTGTGTATGCCTGTGATACCATTTGTAACAACCTAAGCTCATTGTTGGCAGATACTATCCTCTTTGAACTTTCACACATTCGAGCTTCTCTCAACGTTTTTAAAATGTGGAGAGGTTTTCATACACTTAAAAAAAATATTTCGTTCTCCTCCCTAAGGACCGTGTGATCTGAAATGATTCATAAAAATATTAGAATAAATATTTTTTATGTTCATTTTTATTGGCATATAATAATTAATTTAAATTTAAGGAGAGGAGTTGGGCCTGGGCATAGGAACAGGGTCCGAGAGACAGAAGGCGGCCCAAAATGAGTGGTCAAAGATAATCCGAATAGAACGCCACAAAAAGTCAAAACTATTTATTTCGTTAAAATTTCCGACACGACAGCAAAACCATCACATTAATTTGACAGAATATATAAAATGAATTTTCATTTTTTAGGCGTGTAGTGAATGTTCGCCGCGATAATGGAGGAATAGAACCCAAAAATTTTCAATTATTTCAGCTACGCTCATCTTTTTCAGTAATAAAAATAACACCATATAACTCATTTAATTTCTAATTTTTATTGTCATTTATTTTATTTCATAATAATAATAATAATAATAAATAAATATATATATAATTTTTGAAGCCTTTGTGTTTTAGCTAATGGGTTTAAATTTTGGGAGCCTCTTTTAGTTATAATAAACGTAAATATGCTACGTATCCTAGTAAGCTTCACAATATATATATATATATTTTTTGTAATCGACGTAGAATCTAACAATTCATCTTCTTTGAAGGTCAATGTTCTCGCTGACACATCGCTTTGTGTGATTCTAGGGTGACTAGATATTTTTCACTTTGAGCCGTTAAATATCGTCGTTAGCCTCACGATTTTAAATAACATCTACTAGGGAGAGATACATTTTGAAATTCATACCCTTATAAGAAATTATTCGTTCTACTCTTGAATGAGTGTGAGATCTCAAAATTCACCATTTCTTGGGAGCCATTGTCATCGCTGGCACACTACCCAATATCTAGCTCTGATATCATTTGTAATAGTCCAAGTCTACCGATAACATATATAATTATTTATTTTTGTGCTTTTATTTTCGAGATTTTCTTCAAGGTTTTAAAACATATGCCCGGTAGAAAGATTTAGACACCTTTATAAGAAATGTGTCGTTCTCTTCTCCAACCAATACGCGCAAAAATGAATCATTTTGAAATTATAGTTTTCATTAAATTGTGACATTATTAATATATTTTTAAAAAATAAATTATAAAATTTATGTAGCACACCCATATGAACGCTCCAACCAACCACGAAATCGGAATGGAAAGTTGTTGGACGAAATGGATGGTGACAGCTACCCCGACACCGACCGGAGGAAATGCTGACCGCTTAGACGTGGCCCGTAACGTACGCCACAAGTTTCCAATCCCAAGTTCTATTTGGGCCTCACGCTTTTAAGCCCATATAGCCTGGGCTGGGCTTTCCTTTTGGATCCATATTATACTATTGGGCTTTGAAAAGCAAATAGGCTAAATAACATAAAATATATTTTTATTATAATTTCTATTTGTTTCGAGTTTAGTTTCATTTTTCTCTTAAATTTACGTAATAAATTCTTATTTTTTTATTTAAAAAATTAATTATGAATAATTTATTAAATACATTATAAGTTAGAAGAACATATACAATACAACATTAAATATTGAAGTTTTAGTACGAGGGAATTTAAGGATTTTGTCGTTACAAGAACAAATTAAATAATAAATAAAGAGAAAAGGGCAGAATGGGTAATTTGGGGCACTTTTTTCCATTAAAAAGTTTATTCTTGTCCTCTCTCTTTCTTTATTCCTGCCACAATTTCCACTTTAGAAGCTCCTCACACCTAATTAATTTAATTTATTTTAAAAATAACTTATTTTCATGCATGTTTTTATCTCTTATTATATGAAAAATATGTACCTCTTTAATTAAATTCTATGTTTTTTTATTTTTATTTTTTTGTGAGTTCTTTATTATATTCTTTATAAAGTTGGTCATGAGAATCTATGAAAATATGTTCCCATGTTTTTTTCATTTTTAAAACATATATTGTCGGTTTGTTTTTTAACTTCTTGCATGACTTAAGTTCATTGAATACCCATCCAAGAATAATTTACTAGCCTGATTAATCATTTTTTAGAAATATTTTTAATTATATATATATATATATAAAAATGTGGACTTCTTTTTATCTTTTCACCCCTTCTAACCGATTCAGGTCTTGGAGAATATTTTTTCAATTCAAAAGATCGCCTTCAACTTGAGTGAGTCATACAGTAGAATCCTTCAAAAGAATCATTTTTTTTATTAGAATTCTGCGAAATACTCTAGAGAATTAGGAGGTATGTCAGTTTTATACTGTCGAGTGAAAGATTCTCGAAGACCCACTAGAAAACAAAAACTATAATATTTGATATGATAATTTTTTTATATATCTACTGAGTTATGTTCAAATTGAGGACGAGATTTTACACATTTTTCATTAATATTTTAACATTTTAATAAAAATAATCCAAAAAAAAAATCCCAAATACACTATAGTAATAAATAATTATTTAAATTTAAAATTGATGAGGTGGAAGTCTCATCAATAGACTTATTTCATTAAATCTTTCAATTTAAAAAAAAAAAAAAAAAATCTATCTTTTTAACTTTTGTTTTTTTATGGGAATATATGAAATGGAGACAAAAATTAAAATATATGAAGAAAAAAAGGTGCTAATATTATTCTCTTACCATAGCTAGTTCCACTTTGTTCTCCATTACAAATTTACATTTCCTTAATAAGGTGTTATTAATTAGAATATTATTTTCTAAGTCAAACTTTTTAAAGAAAAAAAAAATCTAGAAATGATACATATTAAATTTAGAGTATTTAGTAGAATTCGTATTAATTTTTTATATTTTTAAAAGATCCTTTGGGAATTTGTGTGTTAGTATAAATTAAAATTTAAAAATTATACCTTTAGTTTTCAAATGAAAAGAATATTCTAGATTACATTTCATTCAAATAAACAATTAAATATCATTTGCTCTGTAGGTCGAAGTTTGAATTTTCGTGTTAGACACGTTAAAACGCTATATTCTTAAGAAAAAAAAAATCTTATTTGTAAAATATTATATTAAAAAATATTTATGTATTAAACACGAGCGAAAAAGTGAGCAAGTACATGAAAATCAACCAACAAATATGGTATGTATATTGTTCTTTTGAAATAATAATAATGAAAATGAATAAATGGATTAATAAATAGAATGAATAGCAATAAAGATTTTTGTGTACTCATGTAACAACTTTCATGTAGCTATTCATGTATGTATGTGTGTAGATATATATTAATATATATAAATAAATATTTATATGCATGGTTTTGGTTTTTCTCTCTTTCTTATTCCATTCCCTTCCTTCTCTCTCATATTCTTTTCCCTTTCATTCTACTCTTTCTCTCTAGCAAAGGGTAAAAGGGTCAATACCTATATCGGTCGGGTTTAGAATCCGGGAAGGGAAACGGGTAGATCCACGGTTTATTGGCTCGGGTTTTCTCGAGTGCCCACGCTAAGAAATATATTTGTATGAACTTTGGCGACGTACCATTGAAGAGAGAATGATGATTTTGTCTCGTTATTCAATCGGCTATCCATGACCATGGAGATTCGGGTTGTCCGAGTCCGGCCAAAAAGATGAATACTTCATCCACGGATCTGCCTCTCGACCACTCGCTATAGATGTTTCCTGTTCCACAAAAACACTCCATCAAATTACAAATTTAGTCCTTATATAGTTTAAAACTCACTCGTTTCCTCTATTACTCGCTTAAACCCTAATATCATTGCTTTGGGTCGTTTAGAAACCATATTGTTTCTGTTAAAATAAGACTCACTATTTGTGAAGTAAATCTCACACACACTAACGATAGAACGCTCCAATACCACTTTATAAAAGAACAAAGAGCAATAGAAAAGGCTTTTTGGATAAACTCAGTGTTGTTTGTCTCCTTGTCTCTCCTCTCTCGACATCTCCTAAACAAATACGCGAGTAGTATTTTCACAAAGTGGTATCGGAGCGTTTTATCGTTAGTGTGTGTGAGATTTACTTCACCGTTACTAGTTTTGTGCATGAAAAACACATAAATAAAGAGAAAAAGCTGGTGGGGTTCTTGGAATTCAGGGTCAAAAAGTAATGAAAAAGAAAAGAGATAGACAAAATTATATTGTTATGCATATAATTCATGTAATAATAATGATAATGCAGAGGAAAAGACTCACAGGTTGGTGTGTGATGGAAGAAGAAGAAGTGCAGCCCATGATGAGTTCTTCCAAGCCTGACGCCGACCTTCCTCCCATTTTATGATGCTCACTTTCACCTTCTTGCTGCTCATGTTTCCATTTCAACGCATTCAAATTCCAAATAAATAGGCAGACAATAATCATTATCTTAATCATTATTATTATTATTATTAATCCAAATCTTAATTAACACACTAATTTCGACAACACTCTTCTATGTTTTGTTCTTTTAAAAGATGAAGTTGACAACATTACAGAAATTCCCACTTTATCTTTAGTTGTTCTTTTGTGTTTCTACGTTCATGGAAAAGCTATTCAAATGAACCATTTTTCAAAGGCGTTAGTTTCAAAAATAACTTCATGGGTCACATTTTTTCACCTTTTACATAACTGAATACCTTCCAAAATTCAATCTTTTTCGAGAAATGTAGCAAAATTCATTAAAAATAAGAACACCCATGTGACAAATTGCGTTCGAAATCAATTTAATGTTTGATTTTACAGTTTTAAACTCGGTTTCGAACAATTTAGAAGAGTGTACCTGATGAAAGGGTTGATTTTGGAGGATGATAGGAGAGTGATGAAGATGATATGAATCGTGATCGAGAAGAAGAAGAGGAGAAGGGGAGATGATGGTGGAGATTTGATGAGTCGGATTGGAGGTGACGTGGAAGGCTGTGGTTGGTTGATGATGGTTAACAACAGAATGATGATGATGATGATGATGCTCATCGTGGGCCACCACAAGCTGATGATGATGATGATCTAGAGCTGATGTTCTTTCATGACGGTGGTCTCTCAACTCAAACTCGCCGCCGCCGCTGCATGTGCCGCCGCCTCTTCCGTCCTGTATACCCATTTTTCTCCCTGTTGAACCCTCCTCCATTCCCACCTACAACACCATAAATTTCCTCAGTTTTAATCTTAATTTTTAATGTTGCCACAATTGTTCGTGTTTTTGAATCGTTGAGAATGAGTTACACGTTGGTTCATTTAGTAGAAGATCATAAGTTACGAGAGTCTATGCTTAAAGCAAATAATATCATGAAAAAAAAAACATAGAAACAAATATGGTACCTGGTCGAAACATGTTCTAAATGGTACGAACCCAAAATGGTCAGATTTGAGGTGGGGTTGAATGTCCAACGAGCTGAAGCTGGCAACGGAGCCTCCGACACTGGCCGTGGCGGCTGGAGACATATCCTCAGTCTGCGCCATAGAAGAACAGCTCCCACTAGCAGCATTCTCCCGCCGGCTCAAATTAGCAACCTCAAAACTACCCTCAGCCGCCGCAACGGCTCTCTCCGACCAATTACACTGCCGTGGCTGTGTCTGATAAAATATCTTAGACACAACAAGCTCCCCTTCTTTCTCCTCTTCATGCTGACCCAAATGGTACTGATGCATAACCCAATTAGTCTTCTCCGGCTTCCGGTTCTTCCCAAAATTGGTGTAAAGAACCAAGATTTTCTTGCACCCCTTTTGCTTCCCATTCGCCATCACCGGCCTCGTCTTTCCCGTCTTATGCCACCGCGTTTCCCCGCCCTGTAAGTCGCACTCCGTTTGGATTTTCCTCCGCTTCCTCGTCCCCGTTGTGTACGCCTTCGATGGCCTGTGGAAGAAATGCCTACTCAACCCATCTCGAGTAACTCCTAGATATTCAAATTCATCAGAACAACAAAACGAAACGAAACGAAACGAAACCAAACCAAATCAAACCAAACGAGAATTAAAAAAACCTGGAAGTTTCTCAGGATGTGTATAACAAATCCCATCTTCTCCTTCAATTGTGGGTATGAACTCATCAATCAAAGGGTGAGATTTCATGTCTTTTGATTTAACTTTTGCTTCCAAATGTTCTATCAATTCTTGATCTGTCGGATCAAATTTCACTCCAGCTGGTAAACCAACCCAATTCTGCAACAAACAATAACAAACCCAAAAATTTAAAGACAGAGAGACAAACCCTTTTGAAATTAATTTAAATTTTTCAAAAAAAAAAGAAAAAGAAAAAAATCAGTACCGGCCTTCCTTCAAGCTTATGGCCACAACCAGGGCAGTGTTTGGATCCACACAGCTGATGCTGCTCAAGCTTAGCATCTAATAAGGAATCAGAGCCACCGCCGCCGCCGCCGCCGACACCGACGATTGTACCAATAATTTCGCTACTATTTCTCATATCTCTATTCCTCTCTTCAACCGACTTGTCGTCCACTTCATATCCTAAACCCAGACGACAATCTAATGATTTTCTCGCCGCCGCAATCGCCACAAACGGCACCGTTTTGTTTTTCAAAAAGACAAAGATGAAGAAGAAGAAGAAGGGCAAAAAAGAAAAAGGAAGGGTTTTTATTGTTAATTCAACTTACAAAATACAAACCCACCGACCCTTTATCTCCTTTGCTGAATTAAAAACAAAGGACATATTCAAATTTTTCAACAAAAAAAAAAAAAAAAAAAAAAAAAAAAAAAAAAAAAAAAAAAAAAAAAAAAAAAAAAAAAAAAAAAAAAAAA